AATTAAAATTAGTGTCAGCTACTACTGCTGCTGCAGCACTATTCTGCTACGGTACTGATTGTCCCCAGGACAGTACTAATGTTTATGCCTAGGCTTGCCTGGCTGATGATGATGTCGTTACATCTGCTGCTGCCGCAGCACATCCGCATATCTGCCAGTCAGTTTGCCGTCAGTTAGTCAGAAACAGTCTACAGGGAACTCGTTACCCGTTACAACACATACTCACTCTGCTGCCGCTGCAAGAAAAAGAGAGAATCGGCGGTCGATGGCATCACTCGATGAGAAGATACAAAAGGAAATGTAAAGAGGGAGAGAAAGAGCGGCAACGGCACTTTCACATCACTTGGCACTGGTAGTAGATCACGTCTTGAATAAAAGTAGTATAAAAAAGAAAGAAATGGCAAATTGCAAGCGAATTAGTCATCAAAGCTACTACTACTACTTGTGGCGAGAAAGATGAGCAGGAGAAGGAGGAGGAGAGCGTAGAGCAAGCAAAAAATGAAAAAGAAAAAGAAGAAGGGAGCAATAGCAGGCAAAAGGGAGCAGGATTGCGGCGGGGCCGTAATCGACGACTCAGCGGGTAATCGGTAGCTCGCGCGCGAGCGATCATGTTCGTCGATAATATGACAGTCGTTGCTGATGCTGATGTTGTCGCAGCTTATCAAGTGCTACTACTACTTCTGCTGCTCAGGCAGAAAAGATGTGTGCTATCTCAGAGTGAGTAGCATCGCAGTGTTCAACTGTAGTTGTACGGCACTCAGCACTACCTTGCATTATGTCATCCTGACACGCTACATGTTCGGAAGCTAATAACAGCAGCCGCCTATAACAGCAGAAGACAGGAGACAGAAACAGGGACGCGGGCGGCAGCTGCTTTTCTCAACATGTGCCCGACATGCTTTTTTCTGTACACTACCTCGTTTTTGTGTACGCTGTTGTTGGTGTTATTTTATTATTATTATGACCATTATTGGTTGTCATAATAGAGAAAGGGAGAAAAAGAGTGTGCCATTGGCCTTTCAGTCAGTCACCATGATTGGCCTGTCATTGGCCGATTAGTAGCAACAACAACAGCAACGGTAGTAGTAGTAGTGGTTGCTGGTGTGCTATGTTCAGTTGACTGCTTCATTAGGCCACTTTATGAACTGCATTGAATAAAGTTCACTGGTTCACTGGTAGGACTGCTCTTCAACTGCTGTTGCTGCTGTTGCCGCTGTTCCCAATTGCGCTCACGTGAATCCAAATGAAGTACTGATGGTGATGCAAAAAATGCCAGTGCAAGTGTGCTGGCACAGTGTGATAAACTACTTAATAAAAGCTCATTGCATGGTTTCCATTTTTAAAATGCCACCATCACTGATGTGTGTGCGTGCACTCGCCAGCGTAGAATTTTTGCTTCCTCCTTTTCAGAGAATTCTGTGGGAATTGCTCAGCCTGGAGAACACAGCTGTCAATCAGCTGAAACTCTTTGTGTTTTGGAAAGCACAAGTACACACAGGCAGACAGACAGGGACAAACAACAGCTACCACCAAATCGAATACAATTATTTGCCGCCAGCTGAAGAGGCAGGAATAGCAAAACGAAAAAAAAAGAAAAAAGCAGAAACACCACCAGTTCAGTTAGTTTGATAACTGAACCAATTTAGTAACGGAGAATTTTTGTGTTGTTGCTGTTTCTTTTCCCCCTCTTGCTTCTTCATCCAAGTGCAACTCCAAAGAGAGAGAAAATCGGGGTTCAGTGTGTTGCAACCTGCCTGTCAGTGATGAATGAGCAGTTGCGAGTTGCCGTTTTTGAAATTAAACAGTAGACGGTAGTAGTTTCCTAATAATGGCAACGTCTTAATTGAAAGGCCTTGTACTTGTGGTGGCGGTAGTGGTTGACAAAGTGGCCAAAGGGCACACGGTCCAGCATTTCAACTGCAGCAGCACAGTCCTCGGAGCCGGCGGCGTCTTTCTAAATATAGCTCAGCTCGTCAATGACACAATGGCGCATTGGCGCAACGATGGCATGAATGTGTCAACCTGTTGGTCAGTCGACCACCACCACCACTACCACCAGCACAGGGCACTGAAATGAGGACCACAGTGCACTGCTGCGGCTGCTGCTTCTTTCCCTCGATGCCCAAACCACTACTTTAATTAGCGCTGACCACCACCAATGTCACCACTGCGAATGAGAATGATCACATTTTAACGGTTGCATTTATTCACTCAACGCAGACTCTCGTCGTCGTCGAGAGGGCCGTAAAATGTCCACTAAATGGTAGATGACAGTGCAGCGGAGAAGCTTTTATGGGCCGTTTTGTGGTGTCGGTGGTGCTCACTGTGGTCTGTTGCAGCAGTCACTTCTGCACTGTTTCTTCATCTGCCTTTCGTCTTTCTTCGTCTTTTGTCTCTGTCAGTAGATGAGCACTAGTGAATGTGTGTTTGGTCACTTGACCCACTGGCTCTGTCTGCATCATCATCATCATCAGCAGCACTATGACCACTCTTGTCTTCCTTTCTGCGCATTCTGAAACAGTTTCAGTGAGCCCCGCTCTTGTCTCTTCTTCTTCCTCCTTCTTTCTCAATCTGCCTTTTACTGTCGCTATGTAATTTGACCTGCTCTCTGCTGTTGACTGCTGGTGCTGGTGGCTGCTGTAGGCCAGAGCACTGTCGACCACCACCAGCAGCAGCAATCTCTGACGGTGGTAATGTACCGTTAATGTACCTTAATTGGACAAACAGACACACACACACAAACACACTGCGAGAAAGAGAAGAGACCGTAGGTGAAACGGCACAAACAGGCAAGAGCCCAGTCAGTTAGGTGCTTGGGGAACGCACGCAGAGACAAACCGAAAGAGAAAGAGAGAGAGAGACAGTGTCATCTCTGCTCGCCTCCATTCCTCCTCCACCTTCGGTATCGACAGTAGGTTCTCAGTAAGTAAACTGCCACCAAAATAGGGCTAGAACGTCAAATCGAAATTAATGGCAGCAACACAGTGAGCAGTTCGGGGAATTGTCATCTTACTGACGAGATGATCATTTAGTTGCTCTGGCGTCAGGCTCAAATTTGCTGCTGTTGCTGTTGCTGCTCCTGGTGCCTTTGGTGCCCACCGTTTGCCTCTCAGTGTTGTCGTGGATTGCTGTGCCATGTCTAATCTAATTTGAATCCGTTTTCGCTTATTTTGCATGAAATCTACCACCACCACCAGCTAGGATCACTTCATATCAGCACGAGGCGACTATATAGTGTCGACTTGGATCGAATGAACGATTGCACTGTCTCGTTTTCATTTTCGTTTTCGTCTTTCGTCTTCATTCTTGTTCGACTGTACGTTGGTGCTTGTCAGGGCAACACACACAAACCAACTGCTTCACTGACTAACAAGTAAACTTTCGACACACACACACAGAGAACTGGGGACCAAGTGCAAAGTGTGCCCAAGCAGGACACTCACAAACTCACAACACAGACGACGACTACTAGTTCAGCAGTGGCAGTAGTTGAGACACCGAATGTACATATCAAGTGCATTCCTATTTGCATTTCATGCTCCTAATTTGATTTATTATTAATAGCATAATGATACACTACCATACTACTACTGCTACTGTTGCCCCACTGCTCTACTACCCAAAGATCGGTGTCCGCTTCTTCTACTTCTTGTTTTTCTTTTCTTTATAACTATTTCTATTTCCACAAACACGCAACTTTCAATCGAGTTTGTTTAACTGTGATTGTTTTGGTGGCAGTGGTTGGTGGCACAGTTAATCGATGGATTACCCCTAATCGACTGGCTGCATCAACAGCAGCAGCATCAGCAGCAAAACCTTCCTTTCCTTGAAGGCCGTGTGCTACTTGAGACAATATCTTAGAAGAAGTAGAGGAGATCGCCTTTCACTTTGACTTTCCTAGAAAAAGACTGCTCTTCAGCAGCAGCAGCAGTGACCAGCAGTTCCTTCTTTCTTTGTGACTGCTCAACAGTGCCTTCAACCACTGACCCGGTTAACGACCCGTTCTGCAGCAGCATATCACTTTACGTGCGAGCAGCAGCAGTGACAGCTGAGGGTAGGCAGACTCTGGGTGATAATCCAGCTCAGGCTCAATATCACAGTTTATATATCCAGTTGCTTCCGTTTTTCTTCTCTTTGCTACATTTGTTTATTTGAATGGCAGACTACTAGTGCTCAGCGCGAGTTGAAGAGTTGTGCTTATCAAAAAGCTCGTCAAAGGGAAAAAAGCAAAAGGGAGACGCCGAAAATGAGCTGCGATCAAAGACAAACCGTCACTTGCAGTTGCTGCTTTGGCACCAAATATTTTTGAGTGGTGCAACAACAACAGCACAACAGCTTCATCTGAGGCTTCGGCAGTGGCATCAGCAGCAGTAGTAAGCAGCGCCCATATCTGAGCGGACACTAAACAGCGACTGTCACTTCCTGTCATTCGTCCTCAGCCTCTCGCTCTCTCTCTTTCTTTGCCTATCAAACACCCACACACTATCAGGCAGTGAGTTGCCAGGACGGATGTCAGACCGCAGAAGCTGTGAACTTGCGACATTTGAGGCGCTACACTTGCTGCACTGGTGTGTGCACTCACCACACCAATGACCGGTCATCCTGGCGCCGCCGTTGTCACTGCAGGCGACACATCACTTTCCAATTTGGCGCCACTCGTTTTGTTTGATTTTCGCCAGCAGAGCTTGCTTTTTAGCATAGTTGTTAAATCATCACCACTAAATCCCCTTTTCTCCTCATTTACACAGGTAATCGTCTTCAACTACAATTCCCCCTTTTCCTCATTCTCCTTGTTGCCCAATGATCACCCGATTTTCTCAACACCCGATCTCAACAGTTTAATAAAAGAAAAAGTGCATTACTTCAAATACTACAACAAACTTTTTTCAACAACCTCTGCCTCTAAATTGCCAAAACCTCAATTGTGTTAATCCTTCTTCTCTTATCATCATCATCATCACCCTCAAGCATAAGCATCAACCTCAGCATAGTCAGCAAAGATGTCGATGTGGCAGCAGATTCAAAAGCTGCCCGATGAGCTGCAGAAGCGCGTTCAGCAGCTGTACAACGGCGAGCACTTTCCCGTGGAGGTGCGCTCCGTCCTCTCCAGCTGGATCGAGAACCAGCCCTGGGCAAAAATCGAGTACGACAACCCGGAACACGAGAAGTTCGCCGCCAATCTGGTGACTGCGCTCATACACGAGCTGAACCGCTTTGCGCTGACAATCGAAAATGCGACGCTCAAGTTCCGCCTGGAGCAGGTGGCGCAGAACTTTCACCACAACTACACCCACGACCCGATCAATCTGGTTCGCATCGTCAATCACTGTCTGAACAATGAATCGAAGATACTGCAAAGTGCTCAAAACGTAAGTGCTGCTTTGAGATTTGAGGTAAGATCTTTAACAAACTTAAACTTTTTTCTTTTTTCTACAACAACAGTATCTATCAGACATGGACACGAAGCCGATCATCCGCGACGCATATCACGAGATCTACCCGGAGCTGAGCAAACTGCGCACCCTGGTGACCGAGTCCGATCAGATGCTGCGTCGCCTGAACCAGGACCAGGAGTCGCTTATACTGCACTACCAGGACCGGACGAAGGTGGCCGCCATGGCCGCCCAGGCCAATCACAGCAACCCCGAGCGCAGTAAGCTGATCAAAAACCTGGAGACGATTGACAGCAGCTTGCGCACCGAGTCGGACAACGTCATGAAGGACCGGGCGGTGCTGGTGGAGCGCTACCGGGAGACGCTCAACCGCCTCAGCGTCCTCCAGACCACCGTCCTGGACACTGAGCTGGAGCGCTGGCGTCGCGGCCAGCAGCTGGCCGGCAACGGCGTCGCCTACGAGGGCTTCAGCCTCGAGGAGATCCAGGAGTGGTGCGAAGGCCTCGCCGAGCTGATCTGGAACGTGCGCGTGCAGATCAAGCGGCTGCAGATCATGTGTCAGAACTACGCCGCGCCGCAGTACATCACCGACAGCCTCTTCGGGCTGCTCGACCTGACCACGCAGATGCTGCACCGCCTGGTGAAGAGCACCTTCATCATCGAGAAGCAGCCGCCGCAGGTGATGAAGACGAACACCCGCTTCACCGCCACCGTCCGCCTGCTGGTGGGCGGGAAGCTGAACGTGCACATGACGCCGCCCAGCGTCACCGTCTTTATCGTCAGCGAGCACCAGGTGAACATGCTGGGGGCGGAGCAGGCGAATCTCATTCTGCCGCACAACGAGTCGGCCGCCGGGGAGATACTGAACAACACGGGCATCATGGAGTACCACTCGGCCACGCGTCAGCTGAGCGTCCACTTCCGCAACATGCAGCTGAAGAAGATCAAGCGCACGGAGAAGAAGGGCACCGAGTCGGTGATGGATGAGAAGTTTTCGCTGCTCTTCTTCTCCCGCTTCAACGTCTGCGGCGGCGATCTGGGCGACATTCTCGTTCGGGTAAGTGTTTTTGCTTTTGATGTTTTTGCTGCTTCTGTTTTGTTTACCCGAATTACCTGCCAACTACTTACTCTAATTAATCCCTCTCTGTTTGATACAAATGAGCGACTGTAGTGGCTGTGGCAGTAGCAGCAAGTGCCCATTAATTTGTCTAATTTGTTTTGCTTCTTCTTCTTCCGCCACACAGAACTTCTCTCTGCCGGTGGTAGTCATCGTTCACGGGAACCAGGAGCCACACGCTCATGCCACCATTACCTGGGACAATGCATTTGCGGAGCCGGTAAGGGTACTGGTAACACTCTCTTCTTATGCATGCAGCCATCTGGCATTCCACTTCTTTTCTCAAAAAAAGAAGAGAATCACCACTTTCGTGCTCTTTCCACTTATCTGCTGTTTTTGTTTTTCCATTCACTAATCTTCCCGCAGGGCCGAGCCTCCTTCACCGTACCGGACAAGGTGCCCTTCATTCGCGTAGGCGAAGTGCTCAGTCAGAAGTTCATCCACAGCGTCGGCTACGGCCTGACGGAGGACAACCTGCGCTTTCTGGCGGCGAAGGCGCTGCGCACCTCCAGCGTGCCCGACCTGAACACGCTGATCAGCTGGAGCCAGTTCAGCAAGGAGCCGCTGCCGGAGCGGAACTTCACCTTCTGGGAGTGGTTCTACGCCATCCTCAAGGTGACCAAGGAGCACCTGCGCAGCCTCTGGAACGACAAGACCATCATCGGCTTCATCTGGCGGAAGCAGGCGGAGGAGATGCTGGCCAGCTGCCAGCCGGGCACCTTCCTCCTCCGTTTCAGCGACTCTGAGCTGGGCGGCCTGACGGTGGCCTGGAAGGCCAAATCGAACGACGGCACCGCCGACGAGTACTACATGCTGCAGCCCTTTACCAGTCGCGACTTTCAGATTCGCGGCCTGGCGGACCGCTTGAACGACCTGAAGCACCTCGTCTACCTCTACCCGGACATCTCTAAGGAGTTGGCCTTCAGCAAGTACTACACACCGCTGGGCGACAACTCGAAGACGGTGGCCGGCTACGTCAAGCCCTATCTGGTCACCTGTGTGCCCGGGTAAGTGGTGATGTCTTAATCCATTTCTTGATGATGATGATGACAACTCTGTTTGTTTGTTTGTTTTGTGCAGCCTCTCCGGCCCCACCGGCTTTGACTCGTACCCGAACACGCCGCAGTCGAGCATGCACCCTCAGTCGCCCAGTGACACCTCCTCCATGCACTTTGAGCCCTCCAACTCGCAGCTGGAGGCCGCCGGCTGTACGCCAGTCAAGTAAGTGTCCTACCAGTCAAAACAAAACAAAACAAAACTTTTTCAAGCTTACTGTAGTCAAAACAACAACATTTTAGCTGCTTTTGTTTTTGTGCTGCTGCTTTTCTTACTTCTACTGCACCACTGTTTTTCCACTAACCATTCTGCAATCTCATTATCGTTCTCTTTCTTTCTTTTTCTCTTTTTTCTCTTCTTGCTTTTATCTTCTAATTCCTCTTACCTTTGCTATTTCTGCTGCTGTTGTTCTCGCTCTGAACTTATTACACATTCTTGAATCCTTCTTCTTTCTCTCTCTTCAAAGGATGCTCGAATACATGAACTAACGCTAATCCTTGAGCAAATACCGCAAGCACTAATCTGAACGCTCGACATTTCATATGTTTGTTGAACCACAATCTTTTAACCACTCTCTCATTCTTTAACCTCATATACGTTCCACTAACACAAACTGTTTCCATTCCTGTTCTGTTGTCCTCTCTTTCTTTCTTATTATCATCCCTTGTTGAAACTGTTTCCTCTCTTCTTCAATAATATCAACCAGCTGAATCCTCATTCTCTTGACCTTTCCTCCTCTTTCTCCTCTTTGTTCTTCTTTTGAGTGTTTCTTCCTCTTACCACCACTACCACTCATTACCTCTCTCCCTCTCTATATCATCCATTGACTATCTCCATCTTCTCTATCCTCTATATCCCGAACACAACTTTCTGTCACTATCACACCCTAACTTGCTTATATCAATTAAACGATATCTCTCTCTTTAACTTTCATTCGTTCACTTTTTCTTTCTTCCTCTCTCTCCTCTTATTCTCTAACTGAATTTCGCTCTTGATCTCTGAACTTTTTTCCTAAACCCTCTACCAATTTGTTGCTTTTCTCCTTTTTCTGACCACTCTGTCCTACCCTTACCTTTTTACCCGTGACACTCCCAGAAATGGCGCTCACGTGGATGACAGCTCCGCCGAGGCGTACAGCATGATGGACGCACTGATGATGAACGGAGTAGTCAACGATCACATTGACAATATCGACCATTTTTTCGATCATTTCCAGCCTAAACAGCATTGAAGACCAGCACTGGAACACTGCCGGCTCCAGCTTCGGCACCAGTCCGCCCCAATGGCAGTCATTTATCTCATCGACGACCGTCGTCAGCACAGCAGGTGTCTCCATTTCCGGTGGTGGTGGTGGCGGTGGCTCCAACGGCTCAACAGTTTCGGTGTCGCCACTCAACGGAATGAGAAACACTGGCATTGTCGAGCAACACGAGGCGTTGTCTTACGCCACATCGCAGTACTGAACTGAAATGAGATATCATCACTTTCGCCATTTGCTTGGTTCATCATCACCATTACCTTCTCATCACCATGTTGTGTCTGGTCAGCAGAGCAGATCGGTATCTCTGGTCAACTTTAGCTGAATTTTGTGGATAATGCCGCCTCTATCATTCTCACCTTCTCCTTGGTCCCTTCTTCTTCTTTTTCTTCTCCTGTATTCCACGTATAGAACTGTACACTACTGACGTTCTTCTCCTTACCTCCCCTCATTCTTATCCTCATCCTCTCCCTCTCTTTCTCTCTCTTTCTTTTGACGTCCTTAATCGCTTTCTTTTGCTGATCCATTACCCATTGCGCATTGAAGCTGGAAAGCATTCAGAAAAAAACAAACAAAACAAGCTACGACTAAAGATGTACACACTGCACACCACACAGACTGATTGATAGAACTGATTGTCAAGACCACCACCACCACCACCATCATTATCACCGCCATCTCCTCTGCACCAGCACCAGCATCATCTTTGATTTGTACTTATTTCAATGACCAAAATGACTGTAAATGAAATTTACAAATGATTATTTTTTCTTTAGGCGTTTTTTATTATTTTTAGCCAGAGTTTCACCATTTGTGTCTTCTTGGCTCATTTTTTTATTTGCTTTCTTTCTTTGTCTTTTGTTTCAATGTTAATATTTTTTATATTTAAAGTTGTACTTAAGTGAATGGTAGTGGGAGCGTGAGTGACGCACGAGAAAGAAGACGGTTTCACTTACAACGAAGGTAAAGTTCTCACTGAAACCCTGCTTTTAAACAAACTGTGTCAAATGGTCTTTGAACTGAATTAAAACTTGATTCAATGCTTATTGATTTTTAAGTGAAAAAAAGTTAATCTGTGTGAACTTCAATGCTGGCTTGTGAATTCGCGAACGCACAGAGTTTCCCCTTAAAAATAGGCGCAATTTATTCTTCCGTCGTTTACGCGCTAAAAGACGCCAATCAGCAGACGTCAACTGTCATCAGCTGTTGACTTTGTCAGTGTGTGTTTGAGTGACGTTGAAGGCACACCATCAACTTCGGACTTGAACTTTAGAAGGAGAAGAGGTTTGTGTCTCAATGTTAGTTTGCTAAGGGCAGCAGCAGCAGTTGTTGTTGTTCTTCACTTTCTTCACCATGACCGAGAAGAAAATGGAGGCAGAAGTGCCTCTTCACCATCCCCACACACACGCACTTGACCGAGACCAGGCAAAGTAAAAACCATTATCTTGTCCACTCTCTCACCCGTTGATGGACAGTTGACCGAGCAGAGGCAAGTCAGACGGACAAACCGACGACGACGAACTGACGATCAACAGTCCGTCGTCGCCGTCGCCGACAATCCGTGCCTCTAATCGATTTCCTTTGCACAGTGCACTACTACTGCAGCATCCTTTTCGGGCAGCAGCAGCATCAACAGGAAAGGCGAAAGTGAAAGTGCACATTGTTATTGTTCGAGATGCACAGCAACAGCAGCAGCGGCATTGTCATTGTCTTCCCCGAAGTTGATGGACAGCAGCAAACACTTCCACAGTGTGGACCCGGGCAGTGAGCGGTCCACTAGGCAGTGTGACCGTGAGACATTGTGGTCAGCAGCCACCGTTATTTTCCTCCTTCCTCTTCAGGCGCAGCAGAAGCACAGACGCATCCATTGGGAAAAATAAGGAAAGAAGAAGAAGGAAAGACTAGGGAAAAGGGATTGGAACCTTAAAGAGATTGACCATGATGATCGGTTGCCATCACAGGCATCTGGAGCAGCGCACAGTGCAACGGTAATGGTGCTAAGCTGCTGCTGACAAATGCTAATGGCGGACTGGCACTGGCACTACTGTGCACGCCGGGTGCGTGCACTGCTCATTGTCAAACCGTGCACTGACGATGCTTAGAAGATGATGGTCAGGGCAAAGGATGACGGGCACACGGGCAGACGGACACGCATCGGAGGTCGCAGGTGCGCCCAGGTGCTAATCGAGGTGCAGCAGCAGCGGCCGTCCTTTATTTAATTCCCGAGCTCGTCTGAGAAAGAAAAAGAAAAAGTTTACAAGACAGTGACATTAAATTGTTCAGCGTGGTGTAGTAGGTGGGCTACTGCGCTGATTTGTGTTGTTTTGTTTATTGGAAAGCAAAAGTGGTGGGCGCATACGGTTTTCTTCTCCTTTTCAACCATTTTTCCACCAACAAAAACAAATGACACTCTGAGATATACTGTTTTGTTTGTTGGATGGCATAGAGACAAATTGGCTCGATCATCTTTTGACGGAAATCAATCAACGCGCCGCCGCTGCCGCCGCCGTTGCTTGTTCACCCGCGCACTTCTTTCTTTTTTTGCTTCTTCTCTTTTGTTGTTCACCTTTGTGTTTGTCCATTCATTCATTCATGGCTTGCTTGTTGTGTTGCTGCTGCTCGCTGTTCGTCAAAAGAAGACAAAACAAAACAAAACACTGAGCAAATGAATTAATTGAAATCAAACACGGCCCGCTGTGTGCCGCTGCCATTGTGTAGCACTTGACCGAGGTTTAAGAGACGCCGGAGTCTTTTCTGCAGCTTCTCTGCTGTCTCTGCTGCTCTTCTCCCGTCTTGCTCTCTTACTGTACAACAGCAGCAGTAGACGATTTATTTCAGAGCTAATTTGAATCTCAATAAATCAATTGCACCACACTCTTTGGCTAAGAGACGGGGCTACTATGCGGAAACTTTTCGCTACCTTTTTTATGACGTTGCCCGACGCCGAACGCTGCGTGAGAGTGTGCCATTTGCCGGGCACTGAGAGAGAAAGCTAAGGCTAAGCTCTTCTAAGGTCTTTGTCGGTGCACTTCTTTCCGGTGGTGCTGCTCCGGTGGGCAATCTTTCTTCTCTCTTCAGAGAGATTCCACAGACCTATTCTCAGTGGAAAAGTGCATTTCGTGCAAATGCCATCTGGAATGTCCGAGGAGCAGCAGCAGTTACCGTTGCTGCACCAGGCAACCGACGCCGGCAGGAGAAAGTATCTCTGACTACTTGGCTAACTTTTGACTCATTCCCTTTAACTAGCTCTGAACTAGCCGGCGGCGCACTCAGTTACAGCTAAGCAAAAAATGGACAAATAATTAGTGCACTGTAACGAGCTAGATAGCTCCTGCTGCTGGAGAAGGTCAGCTCAGTGAGTAGCTGCAAAAGAGTAAGTGGATAGAGTAACAACAATGACAACGGCAAGACACTGTGCACCGAAACTCGATGATAGATTTTGACCCGACTTGTGATGATGCTCAAATATAGCTGCCAAGAGAGCAAGGACAACGAGAACAACAACAACAACAACAAAGCAAAAAAGAAAAAGAAAAGGAGAAGAACTGCTAAAGAAAGTGGCAACCGACCCACTAAAAAATGAGTCGCTGAACTGACCTCATGACACATTAAGTGTCGCTGATCAGTTTCTACTGCTGAACTACTGTTCACTCTACATATCAACTGCTACTGACTCATTAGGCATCGTGATGATGATGATGATGATCGCAATAATGATCGCAAGTAAGTCAGTAGCAGTTGCACTCCTTTTGTTGCACCGCTTTCACTGTCGCCGGTCGTGGCCAAGGCCGACTGCTGCTGCGGCTGCTGCTGCAGTTGACCACTGACATTGACGCCATTTCGTTTTGAGTGCACCGTGAACAGCTGACCACCACCATCATCACCACCACCGTCATCAAATGATCAC